TTGTCAGAGGGCCAAAGCTCCGTCTTTGTGGTAGAGAAGTCTAGCACCTTTTCGGCAGCACATCACACAGGGCTATTCGGTAAATAAACAGTCGCAGACAACCCCGCCCCTCCCATTGAACCGATGGTGTCAAACTAAGTGTCACGCGTACTGACATGCACCTGTGACAGCTAAATGTGTGGGAGTCTCGACCGAACGGCCAATCAAGGCCCGAGATGCGATACGTCACGGTTGATTTGACCAATGAGTGATGGCGACTGCCGCATGATGACAGAAGTCGGCATGTTCCTCTGTGATAGAATCGTGTAAACCAACACTGATTGACGTTTACTGCGTTCGTAAAGGCTCGCCGACCCGTTCCCCTAAATTAAACAGCGGCGCATTCTTCTGGGATACACACCGTGCTACATAGAAGGGGGGGGGGGGGATACTTGATGGCTTTCATTCTTTCTCCTTTTTCACCGTATTATCAAAGATTTTGATAAAATCGCTCCCTTTCAGACCTGCAATTACCCATCATCATTGTTGGGCGGGTTCTGGAGAAGAGAAGCGAATTGTTGCTTTTAAATTCTACACCGGGTGTAGCCCCATTAAACAACCTTGTAAATTAGTTGATGATGGGGTGGCTTTCAGTCTCTAACATCCCCCGAGGGAGGGAGCGCCGTTGACTCTTTCAATTTCACTGCAAATTACCTCCCTGTTCAGCAGCTCTTCTACTAAGGTGATTCTCTTCAATGGCGGGTCACATTTCAGCAGACACAGAATGTCATAACACGGCTTCTTCTCCCTATGTTTCATGTTTTTTAGGCCACATAAAATAAATCCTAGTTTCTCGTACCTTACTTCCTCTTTTTCCGGCCCGCCTCATTTTGAGTGTGTGCCATTTTTATATTTTTACTCTGAAATACAAAAAAAATTACAATCTGATTGTTAGATTTAAATAAAAAGGGTAGTTAGTAGGATATAAATATATAGCAGTTCCAACCTGTTTCTGAACCCCTAAAGTGCACAAATAAATAAAATGCAATTAATAAAATTGGTGTTAAATTTGAACCAATAGAATCTTTATGTACGGACAAAATTAGTATCAAACAACATCGAACCCCCTCCTGCACATTGACAAAATCCCGACGAGAAACTAGGAATAAATTTTACTTGGCTTTTTTTTTTTAAAGCCACAGTAAGGCAGTATAGTGAAGGCCGACGTATTATGTTGAAAGTTTGTTCATTTTGAGTAGGCCTCGATCTATATATTATCTAGGCCTATAACATTTTTAGAATATAATTATATATAGGATGAGCGTCAATCCTGATACTTTAAAAAGATAAGGTTGAGTTTTAAGGATTAAAAAATAATTTGTCCCTATTTCATTCTTGTCAGTTTTGAAGAATATCATATACAGTAGGGTAGAATGTCCCTTGAAAAGGAATGCTTTTCAAAAATTTCTTTTCAGAACTGCTATAAAATAAAAATAACCCTCGTGCGATTTGGAAACCAAATTTACTGATCAACAATTGTTGTCAATAGTGATCCAAAAGTTATCACGAATGATGTAAAATGCAACATGAAAGCGTACATGCATATTCGTTGTTTTTTACCACTTCTTTTCTTAGCGAACATGCATACATCATTATCAGAGCATCCTGGCTGAGAAGCCTGTGCGCTGTAGATGGCGCTGTTGGAATTTATTATAATTTTCATGATTGACTATAATAGGTAAGAACACTAGCCTGCAAGACGCTCCAGAAGAAGAAAAAAAATGATATAACAGTCAGAGTCTCTTCTATATGACGTCCACCTTTCACACATATTAATGATTTCACATTGTTTAAATAGCCCCTGAAATCAATTTCCCATATAATATATTTAAGGTGTCATTGGACGGACAGGAGTGATTAGCAGGACGATTTCGTGTCCTTTTAACGATTGATTGTACGTTTTATTTATATTGAAGTACTATTTTTATATATATCTCTCTCAAATATATATTTTATTTAAATTTATTTAAGGCTTCATTGGATGGACATTAGTTTGGAGTGAAAACATGATAAGTACACATTGTCATCAGCAGGAAAATTAGTTGACAGTCAAGTCGTTAAAAATAATGTTTCAAATTAGGTTTAGGGTTCGGGTTTTTATGATGTCCCGGTTAATGTACCATGTAGGGTTATAATTAGGCCAAATTAAAAATAACGTGTTTATCGTCCGGACTTTAACACAAAAAGGAGGAGGCAGGGCATTACTATTTACTATTTTTCCTTTTTTTGTTGCTATTTTTTCCCTAGATGGCGTCATGCTAAATATAGCTGGCCAAGGTGATTGACAGATATTGTGTTATTTGATCATACCGATGCAATGTATTATGAAGAAAAAACGGATTATTTGTACAATTTTTAGTTCATTAAGCAATTTTTAAAATTCAGAAACATTGAAAAATGTACATGCGTTCAGCTTGCATTAGCTATAGAAGCTACATGTCTATATATATAACAATAATGTACATCACAGCCTTTTATAAAACTATTTCTGTTGGCTTTTCTTCTGAATAGTAAAAAATAAACTAGAGGAGGAGGGCGGGGCAAGAACTCATGAGTATGTTATGTTACTTGGCCTTATTAGTAGTAATTTTCCTTTGAATTCGATCAATATTTTATTTTATCGACGGTTTGTATAAACATTTTGAACAATAATAAATGTCCACTGTTCTTTTATTTTGCTGAGTGTCAGAGGCGGATCTAGCTTAAGTTTTTGGCCAGGGGGGGGGGGGTAACCCAGTAGCGGATCCAGGATTTGCCTAAAATCGCGCCTTTTTACTGTTTTACTGTTTTACTTTTCTTTTCTTTTTTTTTAATACTTTTTTTCCTTCTCGCCCCCCCCCCCTTTACTTTCTTTCTTCTCACTTGGCCGCCCAAGGGGGGGGGGGGGGGGGGTTAAACCGCCGAACCCCCCCCCCCCCTCGGATCCGACCCTGAGTGTATATATCCGATTTTAAGTCCATTGTGTTGTAGTAAAATGACGAAAACATAAATGTTGAAGAATCGATTAGTGCTTCCAATCCGACAGTTTTCTTAAGTGGCACGAGTTTTCAACGTACATTGTACTGGGTATACCACACATTTTAATAAAAGTCATCAGTATCCGATGCTGATAACTGATAAGGGGAAGACTTGATCTTCAATTTATCAAATTTCCTGAACAGAACCGATGTTAAACAAAAATTTCAACAAGCACACAAACAAATGAACATTTTAAACTAAAGATTACTGAGAGTAGTGGAGTGGCGCCTCTCCACTTTTACTTTAATCCTTTGATAGTGATTAGATATCATCGTTACCACGCCTTGAAAATAACTCATTATCTTACTCGACAAAAAAATAATCAGTTCTTTTTGAAATCCATCTACAAAACCCACACGACGATCTTTCTAAAGATGACGTTGTTTGTCAGAGAAAATGCGATAGACCTGATAGCCCGGCCCCCCACTCAGTGTTATTTAGGGTACGCATTAGACCGAATTTTTCTGTCTCTTTCGTTCGTTAGCCTCTGATTTGGGTAGGTCGGCTCTCTCTTTAGAGACAGAACAGCCCCATACGCTGTAGTGGCCGCGCGTTTGTACTAAGAAACGTTACACAAAACTTGGCCAAACTTAATCCCTAATTTTGATATTTTACCGGATGCGTATCCGATGCATTTAAAGTCCTAAATTAGCTAAATACTTAACTACTTCGGTTCCACTTACCAACTTGACTGGAATAATCCGTTTAATGGTCCATTTTTAGGAAATTATGGGTCAAGATCGACATCCATGAAGAAAATCTTGCAGCCGAGTCTCATTCTTTTTAGTCTACGCCGAAGGCAAAATGATTATAACGGAAAAACTGTGCATGTCATTACGAACTCGTAGCTCGTGCACAGTTTTTCCGTTATAATCATTTTGCCTTCGGCGTAGACTAAAAAGAATGAGACTCGGCTGCAAGATTTTCTTCATGGATGTCGATCTTGACCCATAATTTCCTAAAAATGGACCATTAAACGGATTATTCCAGTCAAGTTGGTAAGTGGAACCGAAGTAGTTAAGTATTTAGCTAATTTAGGACTTTAAATGCATCGGATACGCATCCGGTAAAATATCAAAATTAGGGATTAAGTTTGGCCAAGTTTTGTGTAACGTTTCTTAGTACAAACGCGCGGCCACTACAGCGTATGGGGCTGTTCTGTCTCTAAAGAGAGAGCCGACCTACCCAAATCAGAGGCTAACGAACGAAAGAGACAGAAAAATTCGGTCTAGGTACGCATATGCTCGTACCCTCTTTTTGAAAGCACCCCCTATCTGAGGACTGCCAACATTTCCGAACCCCCCTTTCGCGGGCTTTTCGCGGGCTTTTCCTGCCTTGGAGACCCCCCTAAATCAGGAAAAATGCTCAATGTACCCCCCTAAATTCGGAATAATTTCTCAGGAGTCCAAAGAGATGACAGAAAAAAAGAAAAACACCCCCTTTTTAAAGAAATCTCCGGGTGAAAAGTCAAATACACCCCTTTTTTTACAATTCTCGGGCCGGACTTTGTCGCACGAAAAGTACCCCTTTACCGGACATTTTGGCAACACGCATGCGGTCATTCCGACCTCTGAGTGGGGGGGGGGGCCGGGCCTGATAGAGATTAACCCATGAAGACAGTGTCTTTTTATTATCATCGAAACTGCGAAAAGGGGGAGTTGAATTTGTCAGAGGGCCAAAGCCAAAGCCACACAAACAAATGAACATTTTAAACTAAAGATTACTGAGAGTGGTGGAGTGGCGCCACTCCACTTTTGCTTTCATTCTTTTTCTTTTTCTTTATAATAAATTTAAGTTATTTAACGAATACCAGCAAATTTATATTTTGTATTCGTTATTACAAATAGGATTTCTGCGATCTATATTTCTCGTGTTTATAATGAGTCACTCAAGGTTTTGCTACGACACTGACCTTTTACGTCATATCCTCCAAAGGTTACCTGACGTCACAATCACCCGTACAAGCTATATCACGGAAAAACGTCGCCTAGCCAGCTGCAGAACCCGAGTAAACATTGACTAAAAATCACTTAAGATCTACTACATACTCTTTAGTCAGTTATTTATTTTCTCACTTTTGTGTCGTCAAACAAACTTTATGTCCGTCAGTCAGGATATTTCGCTGAATTATTCAGCTCCAGGATCAGGTATGTAACATAATTGATAAACTATCGCTAAGGACTTGATTGAGATCTTCCAGTACTTATATACCGTACGTACATGTACAATGTACATGTACGTACGTACTAAACTATTTCTACTGCGAAGAAATTATTTGTTGTGATTGTGCAATTGTGTGAACTGAGTGGTAGATATATGGCATGGCTATGCCTATGGTTATGCTGTTTCATAATAAAATATGCGCATGTAAATCCTCTTCTTCTTCTAGGGTGTCTTCTAAGTACAGTGGATATCCATGTAGGTCTAGATCTAGGCTTTTAACAAAATCTCAAATGTGAACATAATCACCATTGCATTCCTGCACACAACAAACCTTGCAAACTACCTTTTGCATTTGCTTCAAACTTCAAAGGACTGTTCTTAATCTTAGTAAGGTCTAGATCTAGTCGTGCACACACTAGGCCTAGAAAAATACACTTTTATACCAGTGAACAGCCCCCAAAATAAGTATTTTGTACATGAATGGCAGAGTGCTGCATTTTTACTAACTCCGGAAAGCTCCGATGCCGAAGGCGTCGGAGCTTCGGGTTTGTGCATCAAAAAACATTCTAACAGCGTGCTGGGAGATCGCGACATTATCTCAAAATATACAAAGGGAGTAATTACAATTTTGACTTACTAGGTTGCTCGACTCCTCTGGGCATCTAGCCGGCAACTTGAAATTATAATTTGAAGAAGTCTTTGATGGGAAAAAGGGGGTGATTCTTTGTCCTATCCCGACGATTCTTCCATGTTGTTTCGTTGATTCAACTGGCAAAGAGAAAGTACGCATTAAGTATGCCTGCGGTGCCGGTGTTGGAGCTTCCCGGAGTTGACCTTTTACGTGAATCCTGTTTACATGAACTGGCATCAGTGGCATGCAATTTACATTACAAATTTTCTGACAGAAGTTTGTGATGTTGATCCTGGTGGGAACCTCAAAAAAATATTGTTGAGTATGATTGATAGGCTAATTTTGCATTGCCAATTTGATGAGTGACTTTTCTTGCATCTACTTTGGCAAGGCATGCAAGTAAAGCTGTTTATGATGACTTGATCATAGATTTACATGATATTAACTTCATCACTTTATCTATAAATCTAAATATTGTTTGTTTCTGTCACAGATATCTTTGTGAATGAGTCTTCAAATGCTGATAAAAAAGTGCACATTCGGTAAGTTGGTAGTAAAAATTCCCCTTGATTTATAATATATCCTTGAGCTGTATTCTGAAAACGATGTTATCAGATTTGCATAGATTTAGTGCTCTCATGTTTTTTATCATGTCCAATTTACATGTATTTCAAACTTACGCCATTCATTTCAAAGTTTATATTTCCTTCTAACCTAAATTGAATCATCTGACAAAAGAAGCCCAAAGTATATCAGATTACTGTTTTGCCTGTGTAACAGCAAGAAAATAGTAATTCTCGTATGACATAGACCCTCTTAACTTGTTTTAAATGTTAAACTGTTGTCTTTATCAAAAGGTTTTGCCAAATTATTAATTTATACTTTTATAAGCAATTTTTTTTGTATATTTCCTTATGTCTACAGTACAGTCTTTTATCTTGTATTTGTTTTTACTTTTGTGTTCTAATCACAGCATACAACAGCGAAACGGCAGGAAAACTCTCACCACCATTCAGGGGATAGATGAGTGTTATGATCTTAAAAGAATCCTGAAAGTATGTAAAAAGGTAAGTTAAAATTCCTTTTACGATTATCTCAGAGGAAATTTTGGTGTGACAGGTAACTTGACCCGCTCATCATTATTTACATGCTTTATGCATGTACAAAACAATCAGTTTAATATGCAAACCATTAACACAAAGCTATTGTATAAGTCACCTCCTGAAATATATTTGTCAAATTTTGTTTAGCACTTTCGGTTGCATGTTACAGGGTGTCTCAATAAAAATAGAACAGAATTTTGATTGGCAAAATGTTCGAAAGTAGTCGTCCATTTTCAATGAAACTTTTTAAGTAATGTACATGTAATAATCTCTCGTAATATTTGCATGAATTTCACAAGAGTTTAAGCTTATGATCATTTTTTTGTTTCCAAGGAGATTGTGTTGAATAGCACCAGTGCACAATAAGTGTATTACCTTGGGCCTGAACATTTCCTGTCAAACTCAGATTTAAAATAGGAATGAGAGATTGATTCGATCAAACAAAAATTGGCAACTCTAACGTATCTTTAAATACAAGGTTCTCTCCTACTTGCTCTGTACTAGAATTTTTTTTTTTCTCCTCCTGAAATATTAATCATTCACATTGCAGCCTAGATTATAATCATTGCATGGTTATAAATAATCCCTGTATGAAATAGAATTATTCCTTCATCATCACCTAAGAAAATTATGTACTAGTAATGAGTAACGAATGGGAGAGGACCTTAAAAGATACATCACAGAGTTGACAATTGGTGTTTGATTGATTACACCTTCAAAAATTCTGAGAGCTTATTTTTTATGAATTTTGGTCAAGCCTTCACTCTACTATTAAAATAAAGGAAACTTTCTACAGTACGATTAACACTGCATAAATATCCAGGTGGACTTCCCCATTATGCATGCCTAGCCAGAGTTCTTTTTATGGGATCATCATGTGTTATTCGTTCAAGAAGACCAGGCTCTGGTTTGATTTCTTTTGCTTTAGTCTAATCTAAAAATAAGGAATAATTGACAATTCTATTTCAAGGGAAACACCTCATTTGTAGTAGAAGAAAAAAAATGTTCAGCAAATAACCACAACTTTTTTTGGTGCTTCTAGCACTTTCAAGCGAGGAGTTTTAATTATCATTATGGATTGAGATCGTCTTGACACTCCAAAATGCACTCTGTATAGGCCTATACCTTAAAATTCTTAAAATACTTACAACTTCTTTTGAACATTATGCTAACAGTCTGTCATTCTGAAAGCTCTGGTATGCTAAACAGTCAAGATTCAAACTCAATTGGGATTCATTGAATGCTCAATTTTCATGGAGAACCAGTAGAGTGTCAACACATTTGATAAGAGTGATACTGTTTTGATAATGTATGCTCACCTAGGCTACTGCCTGTCTTTTCTTTCCCCTTGTTTGTCCACTCTACAGGAATTTGCTTGCAATGGTACTGTGGTGGAGCACGCAGAATACGGCCAAGTGATTCAGTTACAAGGTGACCAGCGCACCAAAATAAATGACTTCATGCTCAAACTTGGCATATGCAAGAAGGCCCAGGTCCAGGTCCATGGTTTCTAACCTTCACGCATGCACACTCGCCACATGACACTCGGGTCTACACATACATTGTACAGTCTAGTATTTGAGAAGTACCAACACAAGTGTCACTCTCACACAAACACCATACATTTTTTTCTTTTAATGAAAAGCAATTTTTAATCAATTCGGTCAAACAATGTCCTCTTATCAAATTAATTGATTTTACCGAAATTTTGTAATCTGTTGCAGTTTCAATAAAATCAAAAGAGAATCAATGAGACAGGTTAACTGTTGTTAGCACTCTGCCAAATCATGTTGAAATGCTAGCATTATCAATACAGGTGTACTTAAGTACCAGTACCACTCCAGTAACATCAGTGCTCTGAAGAATAGATGGATCAATGTTGATATCTTATCACAGAAAATATATATATATATATATATATAAGTAAGAAGAATTACCGATGGTTTTATGCAAGTAAATAAAACAAATAGTGATCAAAATTGTGATAGTCCTTTCTGTGTTTTCACTAAGTTGAAGTATTGCTTTGAATAACATCGTAAGAGAGCAACAAACTAATCTTATCATGTCAGACTAGAGAGTATTTAATATATGAAGCAGATGATTTGACTTTTATTGAAATAATCAAAATATGCAAATAGCCAAAGGAGGATATATGAGATTGTCAATCTTAAGTCAGCCTTAGATGTTTGCAGATAGTTCTTTTGATATTAAGCTTAAAGTTGTTTCATCAATTGATTAGTTTAGGTTGAAGTTTTACCGTACAGTTATACCTACCATATTAAGCTTTCAAGTATGATATGATATTACTTTTTTATTGGACTGAACTGGACTCTGTATCATCCATTTGATCAGATTGGTATTGTGATCGTTTTTGGTAGCATTTGAGTCATTTATTAATTGTAGTGCTGTTATAATTTTTGTAGATGTTGTTTCACTGAACTCTAATCAAGCATGTGTCATTTTAAGTCAAAAAATCAATTAGCCTTTTTCACACTCACTTCCACAATCTGGCATAGAATACGCTACAAACTTGATTCAAATTTCAAAGTTTAGAATTCTCCTATTTTTTCTTTGTCTGCAGCCTTTTCATACAGAGAATTATTTTATCAGGGTGTTCTTTTTTTATTATTATAATTTGTGCACATTTTATGTAGCAATGTAAAAGAATGCTGATCGTAAAGAACAAGTAATTTAACTTACATTGTTATTTATCATTAACTAACACATTTTTATATGAAATAGGGTTGAATAGTGGTGAGCTGAGATATGAGTCACTCATTTTTGTTACAAAATAGACCAGATCACAAGTATATTCCTATTTACAGAGCTTATATTCCAAAGCCCTAGAATGCTTGTTGCATACATTGAGGTTGCTATGATGGCAAGCCCTTTGCGAGCATCCAAATTTATCTTGTAACCACCGATGTCGGGGCATGCATACAATGTGAACTGGTCTATTGATACCTGACTGTACATATAAGGCTCGCTCACATATGGCGCCATAAACTGCCGCAAAAAAGCTGCCACTTTATTTTTATCATGTAGGCGAGTGCAGCTTAGTGCGCACAACAAAGGACCTTCATATTAATAATATTAATCACCGAGGTCTGTGGGATAAGATGGAGAGATGTAAAGCATATTACACTTCATGTTGTCATAACAGAACACAGTTTTGCGGCGTCAAATCTGAACGAGCCTTTATGGTGGAAAACAGCCTTGTGGGTACTATGTAATTAGATGTTGTGTTCTTAAAGGGTCATCAGTCAGGCACTGGTGTCGATCTGTGAAAGAAACACTGAATTATATAGCTTTGCCTTTAGCTTACCCCAAAACTTTTCTGGGTTTTACTCCAACTTTAACTCTTTTTTTCTGAGGTAATTGGAGATTGTTGGGTTGCATTTTCATTTCAAGGTCACTGAAAGTAAACTGTTACAATGCTTGCTTTGGGACCATGCTGTATCTTGGCGTGTACACAAATATTTATCTGAATTCAGTTATCTTTATCTTGGCTCACCATGGTCCTTTACGACAATAGAAGTCCATGAAATGCACAGGTACTAGTCCTGTAAAACCAGTAATTTTTTAATCATGAACCCTTTGTGATCACAGAAATTCAGTTTTATTGTGACTCAGTTATTTTTGTAGCATCAAACTGTCGGGAATCTGAACCACTCTCAAAATTTGTGAGAGTTTCTGGTTATTTGGGTTATATCATGCTAAATTAAAGCTTCCATTTTAGTAGACAGAAATAGCGTCTGGTATGGGTCATTCTTTAATAAAAACTAAAAACTGACGTTTGTCAACATTCCCATGTATAGAGGCGGTCAGAGGAGCCAGATGTAATCTCAGCGGAACATCCATTGATTTCAGAGACTGAAGCTTTCGGTCTACCATTTTAGATGCCTTCTCTTTCTTAATTTATTTTCCTTCCCTAGATCCATAAGATCCCGTAACTAAAAGGTTATTTTAATATATTATTTGTAACATTCCTCCCAAATAGTTTAAAGATCCCACTTTCATCTGTGTTCATTTCTGCTGGTTTTTGTTTGTTTGTATAATCATGCATGTTTAAATGAAAGTAGAAATAAATATTGTTATGACTTGTTATCTTTGTCTTATCGACAGGCGTGCTTTCTTTTACACCTTCATTGTACTGTAGTCACAGACATTTAAATACTGCATTTAGGGAAGATACCACCCTTACCTAAAGTTGGTGTACAGCAGATAAACTATACTCAAGCCATCGGACATCAAGCCAGCTTGAGACGGGGAAAGAGGAGAAGAGAGAAAGAAAGAGTGAGGAAGAAAAAGGGGGAATGAGAGAGAGAGAGAGAGAGAGAGAGAGAGAGAGAGAGAGAGAGGAATGGAGAGGAGAAGGAAGAGAAAGGGGAATAGGGACCCTAAATATTGCCCTATTATGGATTTTGTATCTATTACTATTTAGAAATGACATGACAGTTCTAATGAGAGCAGTTTGTCCTATCAAAATAAAAGTACATGTAAGATGGGCCTTTGACACATACAAAACACGCTTTCACGCACTCGCATCTACACAACCACACAAATCCCCCCTCCCCCCACAGACAATTTCTAACACAGAATACAGGTATCATGCTCCTCTGTTACAGAGAAAATAGTAATACCGATGGTAAGAGGCGACAGGGGCATTAAAAGAAGAGTGGTATGGAGGTGTGGCATCGCCGGAGGTCTCATTTACAAGGAGGGGCAAATTTGGAAAATAACTTGGACCAAGTCAGCAAAATGTAAAAGTTGATATCTGTGTTGGATTTCTTTTTGCAAACTTGTCGGCAAATGTAATCGGTTGTGCATTTTGCATAGCGCCATCTCTCGGCTACTGTAAGAAATATGTTTTACATTTTCCTCAAACAAGGCTTGTAAGCAAAAATACTTCCCGGGAAAACCCGATTTGACTAAAAGAAAAGAAAACACATCTGAGATAACCATAATGATGAATCTATGTCATTAACTAGCAGGTTGTTCTATCCCGCCCCGCCCCCTTTTTTTCTATTTAGATCTACAGGCCGGAGGTTTTTGGAAAGAACATAATAATACGTTCATATAAATTTGTAATCGTGCGAGCCGTAGATGTAAAAGCGCAAGCCAAACGCCATATGGTGTCAAAAATATAAAGAGAATCCATTTCATTTGCAAAAGAGGCTGTTTTCTGTATTGATTTGAGCACATGCAGTGCTAAGAATAGAAAATGATGACGTCATGCCCATAGGGGCATAGCTACACAATGGTTTTAACTGCCGACAAGCAAAAGACTAATTTTATATCTTTTACCCCATTTCCCGGCAATTCATATAAATTACAAAATTTGCCAACAGAATTTTTAATGAGAGCTGTCACCCCCTCTCGTGAGCCATAATAAAAATGCACAAAGGGGTCAGTCGCTTGTGCTCATGCACTAAATCTATTCGCAATGTGCTAATTAATGTATACACACACACGATCTGCCATTTCGTATCCCAATTCTATTCGAACTGAAAATGAAAATACATGTTCATTCAAACCTCTCTATATAAAGGCCATCAGCCTGTCTATGTTTTTCAGTTATTATAGCTCCCTTTTGAAAAAAATTCCCACCACTCCTACTCTACTTCTAAACTACAATTACTACTACTCCTACTACTACTACCACTACCACTACTCCTACTACTACCACTACCACTATCACTACCACTACTACAACTACTACTACTACTCAACTACTACTACTACTACTACTATTCTAATGATAAGTATTACTACTACCACTACTCCTACTACTACCACTACCACTACCACTATCACTACCACTACCACTATCACTACCACCACCACTAACACTACTACAACTACTACTACTACTATTCTAATAATAAGTATTACTACATACTACTGCTACTAACTACTGCTACTACTACTACTACTACTTCTATACTACTACTACTACTACTTCTTCTACTGCTTCTACTGCTACTACTACTACTACTACTACTACTACTACTACTACTACTACTACATTAATCGCGATAAAACATGTTATATGATATTTAAGAGTAGGAATTGTAGAATACAAGATAATGTAATAAATATTGAACTTAATGATCTAAGTATAAAGAGAGAAACCAGTACTAAATTTCTTGGAGTAATCATTGACGAAAACTTGAACTGGAAGGAACATGTTAATTACATTGCTTTAAAAATATCTAAATCCATTGGAGTCTTTAATATTTTAAAACACATTTTACCACTGAAGATTTTAACAAATTTGTATAACTGTATGATTCTATCACATTTTATGTATTCTAATATTGTATGGGGCGGTTGCTCATTTTATTTATCACAAAAATTGTTTTTACTACAGAAACGTGCAATACGAGCAATTACCAAATCAAACTATTTAGCACATACCCAACAATTATTTAAAAAGTTAAAAATATTGAATATATTTGATATAAATAAATTACAACTAGCAGCGTTTATGTTTTCTTACTCTAAACAACTATTGCCCAATAATTTTCATGACTATTTCGAATATAATTGCAACATCAATAAATATAAAACAAGAAATTCCAATAAAATGTATGTACCTTTTTATATTTTTAACTTTTCAAGAACTACAGTAAGTTTTAAAGGCCCACAGCTTTGGAACGAGTTGCCAAACGTATTAAAAGAAATATCCACTGTTTTTACATTCAGGAAAAAATATAAATGTTATCTTCTTAATTGTGAGTAGTTTTATTTGATCTAATTGCCTTTTATGTGATTTATGTAAATAATTATGTTGTGTTTTTTATGTGATTATGCTATGTTATATTATCTGTTTGTTTGATTGTTTTTATTTTTTATATTTTGTATAATGTATTTCTCTTGAAGGGTGGAAATATAGGGGATCAACCTTGACAGGCCAATGGCCTTTGTTGATCCCCCACATCCTCCACCCTTCATCCTTATTTCATCAGTACAATGTAAATGAATGTTTTTTGTATGTATTTATATTGTTTTAAATAATGATTTGTTTGTATATCTTTTAATGTGTTTTTTTTAAAAGAGATGTGAAATAAAATTGAATACTTGAATACTACTACTACTTTTACTACTACTACTACTACTACTACTACTACTACTACTACTACTACTACTACAACTACTACTGCTACTACTACTACTACTACTACTACTACTACCACTACTACTACGATTACTACTACTACTACTACTACTACTACTACTACTACTACTACTACTACTACCACTACTACTACTACTACGATTACTACTACTACTACTACTACTACTACTACTACTACTACTACTACTCATATTTACTACTACTACTCATATTTACTACTACTACCTGTCTTTTACCAGCTGTCTTCAGTCAGTGTGGTCATCTTATCTGTTTTTCAATGAGTGGCCGTAGTAGACAGATTTGACTCAGGCGGATAAATGTTTCTGAATAGTAATATCGACACCTTTACTTTAAGATGTCATTGTTTCAGCCATCCCAACTTCATGGTCTCCACAATTCGATTCTACACACAGTGCATGATATTTAGCATGACATAACGAAAAATATTTGCCTGCATAGTTAATCATTTTCCTTTTCAGCTGTTTCTTATACTTCTTCTTTTATTCTTCTTCTCCTTCTTCAGTCCTATCTAATGTTTTTTTTTGGCTCGACAACAAAATACATAAATTTCACATACGTTTTTTATTTTGTAAAGTTTGGTGAAGTAATGTGCCTAGAATTAAACGACATATAGCTTACACTATGCAATAGGCCATTTTTGAAATGTAATCAAAATAATGCACAAATCTTTGTTAAGTGCCTCGTTATAAATTATTTCATATACCTGTTTACGAATAACTGGATTATATGGCCAGAATGCGAATTGCATGCAATCATTCCGTATTTATGCATTAAATTGTATTACATTACGAAAATTATCAATTGGGTATACCCAATTGAAAATGAAGGAATCAATAAGTAAAACATAATTTATCTTGGGTCTTCCGGTGTTAAATAAATGACCGCCTTATATAAGGAATTATTCATGTACTTCAAATTTTCATTTCAACGAATAGCAACACAACGGAGCCGGATACAGTTAGCAACCTACCTTATATGCATAATTACCTATAATAATTTCTCATAATAGTCCACTGTCTCATCATTTTCTCATGTTTTCCCCCTGCGATGAATGAAGATTTAGATTCGCTTCCTGCATGGTATCCCTATGAATACACATCGGATTTCCGTCTTATTTGTTTCAAGGAATAATATAAGAAGTGATAAAAACACGTGCCTAAACCAGTTTCTCGTGAAAATATAATCACCAATAACTGAAGTGTTATGCATAATCCTTTATACATTGATCGATGCAATGTCATATTCTGTGTAATAATGGAACTAAAAATGCAATTTAATTCATCTATGTTGAAAAATATGTAACAAAAGCTTTGGTTCAAAACATGAAGATATGTATCGAAACCAATTTTTTTTAGGAAGATGGTTGTTGCAATGTTGGGAAAACCCCTTTGAAGACAAACTCATTGCATCATTAAATCTAAGCCCGCGCTGAATGCAAAGTGAAACAAAATATAGTCAGGAAATATATTTGTAGGTACAGGACGGTCTTGGTCATTTTACTTATTTGCGACACACTAATTACCCATATTATTTTCTGCAATGTGCATGAGTGTCGATGAAAAGTGATCAGTACATTACTTTAAAAAGTAACGGTTGATTATACTCCGTTGGTGTGTAGCAAAGATTTGAGGGCAGTGAGAGGGGGAGGAGTGGGAGCAAACCTAGCAACTGATATGGAGCACTGTATTATTACTTTAAACTAAAATAATAAGCCTTTAACCTGGTAAATACAGTGGCGGGTCTCCCCCCCCCCCCCCTACGGCTACACCTACGCATTGGCAGTGTTGTTTTACATACCTTTTTATTTTAAGGGCAGTCCAATTGTTGTAATAAGTTCATTAAAGATAAGATGAACAGAATGGTGAAAGTTTAAGATAAATCGGACCAATAACAAGAAAGTTATACAGTAGGCTTGCGGGTGCACCATGTGAGAGAGAGAGGGAGG